TATTGAGTCTGCCAGATTAAATAGATGTTGAGGGCCTCGTGACCGTCCTAGAAATCTGGTGTTGATCTACTCTGAGATAGCTTGAGATACTCAGAAAAAGTGTCAGATTAAGTCAGATTATTAATGGCTGGCTTTCCACCAATGCCTCTCCGATTCCTAAGTAAGACTATTGACGATTAAAGTTAAAGACTAGGTATGTAGATTAGGATTTTGCGTAGGGTTCATAGATTGAAGATTGGCGGGGTCGAGACTAGCAAATAATGAAGTTATTCTTTTACCTAAAATAAGGTGATATATTTATCGGGATTTGTCTGGGCAAATCGGGTTGTACATATCGACATCATCGTATCGGCCAAGGTAGTTACGACAGTTACTTAATTGCGGGCAACACACGTCAGGACCTTATTGGCGGAGGAAAGTTCCTCTGATGTGTTAAGATCAGAGCTATCATAGAAAGTGCCAATCAGAGAGGTTGGCTATCAGTTGATATCTCATAACATGATATGTTGAGGATTCGATACGATTGGAATCAATCGTTTCCAATCAGGCAAAGTGCCATAAGATTGGGCCGGGTTGGAACGAGACATAGCATTCGAAATTGAGGTGAGTTCGATCGTCTCATGGGCAATCATTGCCTATCTGGGCTTGTTGGTCAGACGACTCAGACCTAAGAGTCGTGACCAAGATACAGTATGCTAAATGTAAATGTCCTCTACTTTTAGGTTAATTAAGTAGGTTACCTTTTGACTGAGTTGTTTTGCTCATGTGACATAGTTTGGTTAATCCAATTGTAAAAGCTAAGTTATATGCACAACAACATTCAACCTTTTTGATCAATTTATAATGTGTAAAAAAAATTTAATATCTAGGGTATTAATTTATAAAATTCATTCTATATTATTATCGTAGTAAGGTATTCTTGAGCTGTAGACAACTGCTGTTATTGTCAGTGTACAAGACTGTCTCCAGAACACAAGGACTAAGATATTGTCTCTTTCACATTGTCTCCCCTGTAAAGGATTCTTAATGAGGTTATAGATATCAAAGTTGCATGTTAATTTTGTTTTATATAATGAACATGTTATAAGTAGATCACCAGTAATTTTGTCTTATACTACAAAGATTCTCATCAATCATGTTCTATATCTAAGTTTAACTAACCCTAGTCAATATATAACTTCATATCTGTAATTTTTAATCTAAATGAAAGTTAAAAATTAAAAATTGACCTGAAAAGCTTAAAAAGAAAAGATCAATTTTTTTATTGAAGAGGCATAAGTTGAATCAAAGCATTTGATGAAATTAAGTCCCGGATGAATTATTCGGTCAAATGCCATGATGCCCAGTGGTGGCACGTCAGTCCTTGTAGTCATTCATAAACTGCCACGTAGGCACTGAGTAAGCAAGTCAAACCTCATGGTGGATAACAATGGGTGGACCCTTCAACGTGAAGGAAGGGCACAAAGCTTTTGGATATTCGATTAATTAATTAAAAGACAATCAATTAAATCCACACGTTCTTGACGCATCACATATCCACATGAGACCGAGATTTTGTTGGCTCTCAACTTTGATTATCCACTTGGTTGGAAGAATTTGAGTGGTACTACGTAAGTGACCTTAGTTTCAAAATGCATATATATTATTATATATATATAGGCTACAAATACAATAGCCTACGAATCGATACAAAGAAAAAAAAAAGATTGTGGAACCAAAACGTAACATAGGCTTATAAAAACTAAACTAGAAATGTTTCTTAAAACTTTCTCGTTAATTCTAAACATAAAGAAGCTTGATAGGTAGAATATCAACCTTTTTAATTAGTTTTTCTCATTATTATCTCAAAAACGCTAAACTTCGCTTGGTGTTTAAACTATGTGGTTATTTCGTAATTTTGGTCCCATAGGCAGTAATCTTATCATATTTATATTTTTGTCTATTATGATCGGTTTTTCTATAGAGTGCCCATGGGCACTTTATAAGAGAGGAGAGAGAGAGAGAGAAATGAATTATGCACAAAAAATAATGTAAATCAGGGGGGTGAGCATGAGCTATTCATTTCTCTCTATCTCTCTCTCCTCTTATAGAGTGCCCATGGGCACTCTATAGAAAAACCGTATGATTATATCTAAAACAGAGAAAATAAAGACATCGGAGGAAGATAAGAAATTACAGTTTAGTGAAATGATGACTTGCTTATACTCTAAGATTAACATATATAGGCAATTAATTGCATTGCTAGTCGAACCTCGTTACTTTCCGATAATTTTGTCGTTGTTCTCTTTTCCTATTATATATTTCTTTTGTCAATATGTATTATTATCGCAAAAGAACAGATATGAATGCTTTTGAATTAGATAGAAAGCAAAAGAAAATATTAATTGACGCGGGATTCAAAATAAAAGTTTAGACGGTTTTAAAATGCAGCTAATCAATGATATGGACCGATGGACGTCGTATAAACACAGCTATTTATGAATCTTAGTCTTGTCCATGATGATCCGTGCATATATCTATTATGAATTAATATTTTATTGAATATTAAGAAACATATATTGGAAAACATTGATAGTGATAAAATGTTGAAATGTAAATTTTTCTAAAAATAAAGAAAAGTCGACGTTGCGCAGCCAACGTGGACCTGTAGACTAATTATTTGTAGATCTTAAATCTTAAACATTACCCAATCCAGCAACCATGAGTTTGCCACGACGATCAAGCATCCCTTTCTCTAAAGTTTGTTACCCTTAATTAATTAATTATTGAATAAATCTTCTAATAATAATCTATATATGAATATACACGAAGATTCTAAGAAGCATGAAGATCAAAGCTAGCCAGCAATGCCACAACTATTAGATAAATTATGTGTTAAAAATGCTGGATATTTCTAGTCGATCAAGCAACCAGCTAGAATTAAAATATGAATATTCATATGCCATGCAATTGGCAATAATTAGACAGAGGAGATTGACACATTACATACATGGATGATGGATACCCTAGTCAAGTCAATTTTGTAGAGCATGTTGTAATTTGATATATAATTAATTGAGATATTTGGTAGGATATAAATTTTTAAGCAAGTAAAATCTGACATCAGTGGAAAGATCAAATTGGCAGCTGTTATACTCATAAATTGGTAAACTTACTCAAATTTGACTATGTGAATCCCAATCCAATTAACAAGTTAACTGCATGTACACTAATTAAATAAATAATATATGTGTTTGCATTAATAAATATATGGGTTTCTTGCCTTATTATGGTTTATGTGGATGCCTATGGAGGAAAGCTAAAACGATAACTTTTTTCCCGAGAAGATTTCCCTTAAAGGAGGTGGAGGAAAAACTATTTGTCTAAAACTAACAGGCTACATACATCCTCTCCGCTATAAAAAAAAGTAGTAAATAGACTACTACATTATTAGAATGTTGATTGTCTGATTGATAGTTATGATTTATCTGTGAGTGCAAATTAGAAATGAATGCAATACATAGGGTATGATGAGTGCTAAATTTAGAATGAATCTTAATCACTCACAAGATAATCAACGGTTAATATAAAAAGTATTGTTCTTTTCACTACTTTTTAATATATATATATATATATATATATATATATATATATATATATATATATATATAATATATATATATAATATAATATATATATATATATATTATATATATATATATATATATATATATATATATATATATATATATATATATATAATATATATATATATAGAGAGAGAGAGAGAGAGAGAGAGATTAATGGGTATCCTTGTCATAGGAGGGGATTTTCCTCTTGACGCATCTAAAATCACATGATTGAGTTGACATTGTGGATGATCGCTCCGTTGAACTTGATCTACATATTCAAAACTCAAACACACCAAGTTTGGGGTGAACCCGTCGTCGTTTGACGCCTCCATCGAGCCGCATATGAAAAGTTCTATTGCATTCAAAACGCGTTAAAATGATACGAGTGGAATGAAGGGTTAAACGACGACGGGTTCACCCCAAACTTGGTGTGTTTGGGGTTTTGAATATGTAGATCAAATTCAACGAGGCGGATCATTCACAATGTCACTTAATCATGTGATTTTAGAGGCGTCAAGGAGGAAATCTCCTCCTATGACAAGGATACCCATTAATCTCATATATATATATATAATATATATATATATAATAATATATATATATATAATATATATATTATATATATATATATTAAAAGTAGTGAAATGAAAATAACGAAATGAAGCATTTACATATTTTCATTTTTAACGGAGCAATCGAACTGTGAGGAATCATTCCCACGAAAAAGAAATTTCCATAGATTTATGAATTCGGATGCAACTAATTAACTCGTTTTTTTTCCAATCAAATACAACAAAATCTTTAATCACATTTAATCCAATCAAATAAAAGTTAATGCCACGACCTGAAGAAAACTTCGAATATCAATTAAGCTCTCATCATAACCAAATTGATCGGTATATTTGTATTTGGATTCCAATCAATTCAAGCATCACTCATAAGTCATATCTACTCCTCCCATCAATCAATTACGAAACGACCTTCATCCAATTCCCTCTCCGTCAATAAACAATTAGTTACGATCCCCCGAAAAGAATCCTAATGTTTCTTTTGCAAATTAAATTTTATCAAAATTACAAAGTATAAACACATGCGTCGCCTAATTAATTGCTTATCTAGATCCATAACCTAATCTAATTTTAAGGGTACCTTGTCAACAAATACGCACTAACACAAGCCGAGTTCTTCCAAGCCCTCGAGTGAGCCCTCAGCGCCAACCGCGCCTTCTCTCTGACCCCACTCCCACAGTCCGCTTGCAACACCAAGCACAATTTCGAAACACCTCCCCTACCCTCAAATTTTTGGCAAAACTCCCCCGTTCGCCGAGTACTATGCAATTGAGCGTGATTACCCCTCACCGCCCTGCGTCGTCCGCCGCGGCAGACACCCTCAGTATCCTATTCGGCCACCACCGCCAGCCCCGCCCGTGCCCACCCAAGTCGGCCGCCTACCGGTCGGCGGGTCACACCGCACAAGATTGGTCCGCAGCACCCCTAGGCACAGCTCGGTCCGTCTCTTATCGGGCCCGGTCAGCTCGAGCTCGATGAGCTCGTTGACCGCACCGGATTCGACCATCTTGGTCCGGTTCCGGCCCCACGGGCTCGCGTTGAGGAGCACGTGCAGTGCGCACTTTGTCACGGCGTGCGATATCCTGTCGCGGATTGTTCTCACTACCCCCTCGAAGAACTCGACCTTTAGTCGCTCGAGTAGATTCGAGCTCAGCTCGCTCCGTTCCGTCACGATCCAAGCCCTCAGCGGACCGTAACGGAGACTAGCGGAGCTCGAATCTACTCGAGCGACTAAAGGTCGAGTTCTTTTCGCAGGGCGGTAGCTGAGAACCAATCCGCGAACAGATATCGCACGCCGTGACAAAGTGGCGCACTTGCCCGTGTCCTCAACGCCGCAGCCCGTCGGGGCCGGCAACCGCGACCAAGATGCGTCGAATCGCGGTGCGGTCAACGAGCTCATCGGAGCTTCGAGCTGCACCGGCCAGATTAAGAGACGAGAACGAGCTGCTGCCTAGGGTGCTGCGACACAATCTTGTGCGGTGCTTGACCGCCGACGGTAGGCGGCGACTTGCGGTGGGCACGGGCGGGGCTGGCGGTGGTGGCCGAATGAGGATACTGAGGGTGTCTGACCGCGGCGGACGAGAGAGGCGCAGGGCGGTGGGGGGTAATCACGCTGCAATTTGCATAGTACTCGGCGACGCGTGCGGGGAGTTTTGCCAAAAATTTGAGGGTAGGGGATTGCGGGTGTTTCGAAATTGTTGTCTTGCGTGTTGCAACAGCGGACTGCTGGGAGTGGGCGTCAGCAGAGAGCAAGCGCCGGTTGGCGCTGCTAGGCTCACCTCGAGGGCTTGAAGAACTCGGCTTGTGTTTAGGTAGTGCGCGTATTTGTTGACAAGGTACCTTAAAATTAGATTAGCGTTATGGATCTTGATAAGCCAATTAATTAGGCGACTGATGATGTTTATACTTGTAAATTTTGATAAAATTAAATTTGCCAAAAAGATAACATTTAGGATTCTTTCGGGGGATCGTAACTAATTGCTTTTTATTGAACGGAAGAGGAATTGGATGAAGGTCCGTTTCGTTAATGATGATGGGAGGAGCTAGATATGACTTATGAGTGATGCATTGAATTGATTGTTGGAATCAAATTACAAATATACGATTCAATCTTGGTTATGATGAGAGCCTTAAATTGATATTCGAAGTTTTCTTCAGGTCGTGGCATTTAACTTTTATTTGATGTATTAAATGCTGATTAAAGATTTTGTTGTATTTGATTGGAAAAAAAAACTGAATGGTTAATTAGTTGCATCCGAATCATAAATCTATCGGAAATTTCTTTTTTTCGTGGGAATGATTCCTCACAGTTCGATTGCTCGCTTTAAAAAATGAAAATTATGTAAATGCCCTTCATTTCGTATTCCTTTCAATTTCACTACTTCTTTAATATATATATAATATACTATATATATATATATATATATAATATATATATATATATATATATATATATAGAGAATTAATGCGGGTATCCTTGTCATAGCGAGGAGATATTCCTCCTTTGACGCCTCTAAAATCACATGATTAAAGTGACATTGTGAATGATCCGCTCGTTGAATTTGATCTACAATCAAAACCCCAACACACCAAGTGTGGTGAAGCCCGTCGTCGTTTAACCCTTCATTCCACTCTCGTATCAATTTTAACGGCTTTTGAATGCAATAGAACTTTTCAATATGGTCGATGGAGGCGTCAAACGACGACGGGTTCACCCCAAACTTCGGTGCTGTTGAGCGTTTTGAATATGCTAGCATCAAGTTCAACGGAGCGGATCATCCACAATGCTCAACTCAATCATGTGATTTTAGATGCGTCAAGGAGAAATCCCACCTCCTATGACAATGGATACCATTAATCCTCTCTCTCCTTTCTCCTCTCCTCTCTATATAATATATATATATGTATATATATATATATATATATATATATTATATATATATATATATATTATATATATATATATATATATATATATATATTATATATATAATATAATATATATATATATGATATATATACTATATATATATAATATGATATATTTAACAAAGTAGTGAAGAACATACTTTTCTATATTAACCGTTGATTATCTTGCTGATGTGATTAAGATTCATTTCTAAATTTCAGCACTCATCATACCCTATGTATTGGCCCATTCATTTCTAATTTGCACTCACAGATAAATCATAACTATCAATCAGACAATTCAACATTCTAATAATGTAGTTAGTTCTTATTTTACTACTTTTTTATAGCCGCAGAGGATGTATGTAGCCTGTTAAGTTTTAGACAAATAGTTTATTCCTCCACCTCCCTTTTAAGCCGAAATCTTCTCAAGGGGAAAAGTTATCCGTTTTTAGCTTTTCCTCCATAGGCCCCATCCACAATAAAACATAATAGGCTAGGAAACCAATATTTAATTAATAGCAAACACATATATTATTTATTATAATTAGTGTGTACATGCAGTTAACCTTGTCTTAATTGGATTGGGGATTCACATAGTCAAATTTGAGTAAGCTTTACAATTTATGAGTATAACAGCTGCCCAATTTGATCTGTCTCCACTTGATGTCAGATTTTACTGCTTAAAAATTTATATCCTACCAAATATCTCAATTAATTATTATATCAAATACAACATGCTCACAAAATTGACTTGTACTAGGGATCCATCATCCATGTGATGCTAATGTGTCAATCTCCTCTGTCTAATTATTGCCAATTGCATGGCATATGAATATGTCATCATTTTAATTTCTGCTGGTGCTTGATTTTTTCGACACTTAGAATATTCCAGCCATTTTTTATAACCATAATATCTCTCTGCGTTGAGGACACGCGGCAGTGCGGCACTATTGTCACGGAGTGCGATATGCTGTCGCGGATTGGTTCTCACTACCAGCCCTCGAAAGAACTCGACCCTTTAGTCGCTCGAAGTAGATTCTGAGCTGGCTAGTGTCCGTTACGGTCCGCTGAGGGCTTTGGATCGTGAGACGGAAGCCGGAGCGAGCGATTCGTGATGCAGGAGCGGAGCCAATGCGTCGACAAGATCATAGTTATGGGCGACCAGCGGCCCGAACCCATCGTTGGGCACGCGGAGGGAATGCAGTAGGCCGAGGCCCAGCTCGACTCGGTCGAATTGACGATTGTTCGCGCATGACACGACGAGTCTGAGTATGTGCTGGCTCGCGTTGGCCTGAACCAATGTTCGGCGATTGCTCTCGCTGTCGGAGGCTAAAGTTGTAATGAGTTTGAGAGAGTTGAGCTGGAGGTTGGGGTTGGAGAGGTCGAAGAGGAGGGAGGAGGCGGAGAGG